GTCTTCACCACCTTCCAATGTTCCTCACCAGGATTTGCCTGATATCGGCTAGTCACTCCAAGTGCATAAGCTACATCAGGACGTGTACATGCCATGGTATACATGATAGCTCCCACTGCACTAGTGTATGGGATCCTACTCATGCGTTCTCTCTCTTTAGGTGTTTTAGGACAATCCTCCCTACTGAGAGTAATTCCAGTGCCTATCGGTAGATAGCCTCTTTTGGAATTATCCATATTATACCTCTTTAAGATGGTATCAATGTACAAAGACTGGGAAAGTCCAAGCAGCTTCCTAGATCTATCTCTATAGATCTTTATTCCTAATATATAAGCTGCTTCTCCCAAGTCTTTCATGGAGAACTGTTCAGATAGCCAAATCTTGGTACTTTGCAATGCCGGTATATCATTCCCTATGAGCAATATATCATCAACATACAACACTAAGAATATAATTGTGCTCCCACTAACTTTTTTGTATACACACGGTTCTTCTTCGCATCTAACAAAATTGAACTTTTCAATTGTCTTGTTAAATCGAATATTCCAACTTTGAGAAGCTTGATTTAGTCCATAAATGGATCTTTGTAGCTTACAAATTTTATTATGATCAGACGAAGATGTGAAACCTTCAGGTTGTGTCATGTACACATCCTCTTCTAGCTCACTATAAAGGAAAGTTGTTTTCACATCCATTTGCCATATTTCATAATTATAGTATGCTGCTATAGCAAGCAAAATCCGAATTGATTTGAGCATTGCCACGGGAGAGAAAGTCTCGTCATAGTCGACTCCTTCTTTCTGGCGATATCCCTTGGCAACAAGACGGGCTTTGTAGGTCTCCACCTTTCCGTCTGCTCCAATCTTTTTCTTAAAAACCCATTTACAACCTATAAATTTTATATCCTTTGAAAGTTCAACTAAAATCCATACTTTATTTTCCTTCATAGATTCCATTTTGGATTCCATGGCCTTTTGCCACTTCTCATAATCAGAACTTTGTATAGTCTCTTCATAGGTCTTAGGGTCATCATTATTATGATCAACCTCATTTGATACATCATCTTGTACTATTAAATTTAATCTAGTTGGTACATGACGTTCTCGTGTAGCCCTTCTAAGAGGTACTTGTATAACCTGTTCACCTTGTGTTGGATTTGGTTATTGTTCAATTTGGTTTGGAACTGGTTCATTAACCTGTTCTTGAACTTCATTTAGTTCTTGAACTTCAACCGTTGAAGATGGAAACTTCCTTGGCAACTTCAAAACATCCAATAAAGGTTCTTCAACTTGGGTCTCATGATCTTTACATTGTGTTGATTCATTAGTTTCTTGAACTTCATCAAGTTCTATTTTTCCATTATAATTTCCTTCTAAAAGAAATTCCCTTTCCAAAAAGGTTGCTCCTCTGGTCACAAACACTTTATGATCAGATNAACTTGTAGATTAACTTCTCCTTTCTTTAGCCTCCTACTTACCTTGAACCCTTGCAACATATTATTATAACCACTGCCAGTATCTAATACCCACAGTGAAGAATTAGTAGTAGCTAAAGAAACCTTGAAAACATTTTTCATTAATGTCTCACCTTGTTTCTTGTCCTTTAGAGTTGCAAGATACTCCTTGCAATTTCTCTTCCAATGCCCTTTCTTCTTACAGTGAAAACATTCAGCATCATATACTGACTGCAAGATCAAATCTTCAGAAAGCTCTTTACCAAGCTTGTACCCCAACTTCTCATGTTCTTCTGTAAGAACAATCATATAATTGACAAGGGGTACAACTGGAGAGTTTTCAATGTCCAATTGTGTATCAACCATCTTCTTAAGATATTCAATGATTGCAATTGAATCCATATTCTGATGTTTTCTCGGGAGTTCAGAACTCATAGAAGTGAGAATGATGTGTTTAATAGCAAGGCATTCTTCCAAGTATTTCTGATAAACCTTGGTGCCTTGAACATCATTCTCTGGTGGGATTATCTTTGCAGGCTTATCGATCACATCAATGAGATTTTCATGCATGAGAACAATTCTCAAATTTCTATACCAGTCATCAAAGTTTGGTCCTACCAACTTGTTGGTCTCAAGTGTTTCGCGCAGTGATATAACAGACATATTGAGAAATGTAAAATATAGAAAAGAAAAGGCAATAATATAAGAACATATTTGCATATATCATAAAGACATGGACTTTTATCTAAATAATATTTCCACTAATTATTTTAAACTATTTACCCTCATTATAGTTTACGAAATCTTTATTTCTATTAGTGGAGTAAATTAATCCTTTAACATTGTATGAGCCCCTTGGAAGTCAAGTTGTTTCTCACATATATTTTAAAGGTAGGTACTCTTACCAATTGTATCCCCATACAATTTTCTTAAATAGCTCTATGTCAAATAGCCCCCTGGTAGTCAGGTCGATCCTATTGGCATAGTTGAGTTCAACCATCATGATAGCAAAGAACTTATTAAATTTTATAACTCCCAGGTGGTCCAGGCGTTTAGTGTAAAATTGAATAATTCTTTCAATCCATACATCTAATCAATAAATAATTTTAACATATTCTCAAACTATAAGTCTCCTGGTAGTCAGGTCGCTCCTTATAAACAAGAAATAAGTAAAATTATTTACCTTGATGGATAACTCTTATAATAAAATATCTTATATTTTATTATTTAAGAACTCAAATTTTAGTAAGATAGAATTGTTACTAAAATAAAGTTTTAACAACATGAAGATCAAATCTTTTATAGCATGTGAATTTAGTTCAAGTTGTCTATATGCTTAGTCCTAAATTGATTTACATCACATGTAATAAATAATTTAAAATTATGTAATGAACAAGCACGTGACATAAAAATAAAATTCAACATTCTTCTAACATGTTTAATCTATATATCACATATATCACAAAAAAAATAATTCATGCCAGAATATCATTATTAATTAACATCTCATGAACTAATAGCAATTAAAAATAACAATAGAATCATGTAACCTATTATAGATTCCCATCGTATCTAATACAAAATTTCAAATTCAAGTTATGAACTATCTCAATAGTTATATGAATACATATTTTATCCATAATAACATAATATCAACATTCAAATGATTTGACTATTGCACAAGACACATGTATTATGGTTTGAACTCTTCAAATATAATATTAAAATATTTCGTAAATAAATTTTAGACACAATAAACCATGGCTCTGATACCACTGACGGATTGCGTATAGGTGTTCGTAACACGCAGCGGAAGACAATAACAATCCTAGGCAGATCTTTTCGTATTTAAAATTTATTTACATGTCAAAGATTGGATCAAAGACAAACCTGGTGAAGAGAGTCTCGTTTCAAAATTTCTTCGATAGAGCGAAGAGTCTATGCATATCCACACCGAGACCGATCCTTGCTATCAACTCTTTGATCAATGAAACCCGTGAACAAAATTGAACGAAAAATATTGTGTTGAAATCTCAACTCAATGTTAGAAGAACAAGAAACACTTTTCTTGCAATTGTATTTTCTCTCTTGGCTTTGTATTTCACTCTCACTTTCACAAAGTGAGTTTTCTTCTCAAGAAAAAAATTGTGCAAATTTTTGTTCCATCACCCTTTATATAGCATCACCTATAAACCTTTTTCCTATTTGATTGAGGTAATAATTTATTTAGGGTAAAATTTTATTCCAAAATAAATCACAATCGAATTGTATGGAAATTCGGAAATCACGTTTTAACTAAACATGACTGCCGAACCAATCCAACTTAATGTTGGAGTTGGTTGGATTCAATTCATACGTCCTTTTATTGACTTTTCCTATACAATTCCAAATTCGTAAATTAATTAATATTTTATATAAGTCGATATTAATTCATATTATATATATCTCAAATATATTTCAACCAAGAAAAATAATTTATTTTCTATTCTAAATAGAAACTTCAATTTGTTCACAATATTAATTATATCCTCTGTGCTAACAAAGAATATAATAATATTTCATTTGGACTAATAACTAAATTTATTTAACTAATTAAATTCTTTAATTTAATTAACAAATAATAAAGTAACTAATCCTTTAGCAAAGATCAGAACACTCGTTAGTGTGCAACCCCATAGGTTCAATACTAAACCGGTAGTAAATTGATCANCCCTAGGATATGGTTCAACTGTCAAATCCTAATAGGCGACCAACTATGTGTTCATGTCAAATATAATCGACCATCGAATGACCTAAGAAACTCATTTCTTCTTTCATTCAATTGCCCTGGCCAAGGTCTTAGTTTGATCATTTATAATTCATGATAACATGGAGGTTAAACTCATTACCAAGAGTTGACAGATTCCATCTTGATCAATCACGAATTCTACAAGTATTTAATCGTACCCAATATCCTTTCAACTATCGCCCTGGGGCCATATGTGTCTGGTATCAAAGCACAATAAATAACTTGTCAATTACTATGACGATCTCAGGTCAAAGGAAACTCTTACATCACATTCTTCAAGAGAATATCCTATTGACAGTTTATGGTAATTCTAACCATTAGGAATTATCCAATGAGTCGGTTCAATGATCATATCTCTATATGCATCATCTATCTATGTGATTTACTTAATGAGATCAACTAATCTTTATCCAATAAAGACGATCACATAAATATTGATCTAACCGGATTACTAATGTCCAAATTAATAATCCTACGATCAAGAACAAATTTAGATTAATTGTAGGAGACTTTGCTATCATTATCATGATCTCCATCACGATGACAAATTTCAAAATTTAATCAAGGACTTTATCAAATTAATCAAATAATTAATAATAACTATGATATATAAAAGAATATCAAATGCCATATATTTTTATATTAAATAACATTCACAAAAAATGTTCAAATAATCAAATATGAGATTGGATCTAGGACATATCTACTATATTCCTAACATTTTTTACGTTATGCATTATTACAAGCACGAACCAACAACTGTTTGTTTGAATGTTTGCAGGATGACAACCTTTTTCTTAGCTTTGCTGGTGTTTTCAGCAATGTTGACAGATATTATGGCACAACCACCACAAGAACTGATAGTCAACATCACCATACTTCACAGTGCCACTGCTGAAGGCGCAGGTATAATACATTAAGCAACGGAGACAAGATAATCACATGTATACTAACTAATTTATTTATTTTTGAGTCATAAACAGTGTGCCTAGATGGGAGCCCCCCGGCATATCATCTTGATCAGGATATGGTAGCGGACTTCACAGCTGGATCATCACCATTGATGTTAGTTTTTTTCTTTTACTTCTTCCTTTTATTCATTTTCTTTTCCTTATTGATAACTCTGGATAAATTCATATCTTCAGGGGGGTGGTTGGTGCCAGAGCATCTCGGATTGCCGTAGTCGTTCAACTAGCGACTTAGGTTCTTCCACAAAGATGCAGCCGCCAGAAGCTAAGTTTTCGGGGATTCTTCATAACGATCCCAGAACTAATCCAGGTGAACTAAGCTCATATTTCAGTTACTTATTTACAATTGTTCTTTTTCTTTGTATGTGTATTTTAAGCAGTTACTAATTGTAAAATTTGAGTTGGTAAACTTTTACAATTGGAATAGAGTGAGGGTTAGATATTGTGATGGATCATGTTGAAGATGTTGACCCTGTAAGTAGTAGTACATATATCTCTTTAATTTGTTGGAAAATTATTTTGAGTGCTATTTATATTGCTTTACATAAAAGTTAAAACTTTACTGATTTGAAAAAGTCTAACTATGTTAGGATACCAAACTTTATTATAGAGGAGCAAGAATCTTCAGAGCCATTATGAATAATTTATCCAGAAAAGGAATGCAAACTGCTGAAAATGTAAGATAGAACTGAATTCACTCTCTAACCCCATATATACAGCATAAGACAAGTCACATACTACTATTTCATCCTTTACAAGATTTTTCCCAGTTGGCTACATCTTGAAAAATCAAAATGTAATACGTGATCAGGCAATCCTAAGCGGAACTTTAACTGGAGGATTGGCTACAACTGTGACAAGTTCAAATCCTTCTTTCCTGTTGATGCGAGAGTAAAGTGCGTTGCGGATGCAGGCTTCTTCATTAACACGTGAGCTCTTCTTGCTATGCATTAAGTGATCACTTAAGAAATTAAATGATGTTCGTCTTATTGATTTATATCTATGCAATTGGAACTCAAGCACTTCATGATGTATGCAGGAAGACAATCTCTGGTACTTCAGATATTCAAGATGAGTATAACAGAGTCGTTAATTTACATGTGAGTCTCATTGTCTTTTTCGTTTTAGTAAGATATACAACACGCTTAATTAATAAGCAGTTTTGATTGCTTTAATATTTCTTTTTTCCTTTTGTTTAAGAGGTCGGCTAAGAATTTGCCTACATCTTGCACCTCTACAATAGATCCAAGCTTGGTAAGAGTTTAAATTTTAATTTGGAAACAAATAAACTCTTATGCTATATTTTTATTGCCCTCTACTAACATTAGTATATCTTGTACTATCGAAAAAGGTTTAAAAATATCCTCTGTTATACTATTTGGTTATTTCGACCCATACCATTATACTATCATTCAAATATACCCCTTCCTTGGACGGAATACCACGTGGATTAAAGAGACCCATCCCCTTTTTTTACCTGATTCAATTCCCCTCTACCCATAACCCGACCCAAGTCAGCTCTTTTTATAAAAAAAAAAACCCTAAATGAGTGGAATCAACTTTCATGAACATCTTCTCTAATTTTCCTCTTCTCTTTTCCATTTCCTTTTCCTTTAATTCTTCTACTTTTTTTTTTCTTACTCCTTACCCATTATAACAGAAACGATTGTATATATAGATTGATTTTGGGTTTACATAAAATCAGAAAATTTTCTATCCATATATCTATCAACCAAGTAATTTGGTTTTGAAATCATGACCTTATTGAAGAAGAAAAGCCACCCATCTTCTCTGACATCTCATTCTTTTGGCATGAAGCTTGGGCTAAAATTTAAACCAAACATAAATAGATTTCCAAGAACAAGAGGACTCGGGTTCGATTACAAGAATTTTGAGGCTCAAGTCTGCATTTTTATCAGACAAGTAGAAGGCAACCACGTCATACCTGCAAAATCACCCGTGGATTGTCTCAACGTTGTTAGCATAAAAATTGAAAATCATCACTGCGTCTAGTACTCAAAAAGAGGAAAACAAAACGTGCCAAAAACAGACGCAAGATATAAAGATTAAAGCCTATATTTACATGAACATAGTGACCTATTAAAGTATGTTGTTGGTTTGGCTGCTAACGAAATCATTATAGTAATATGAGGGGTTTAATTGGATAGGGCTGTTTTTAAGCGGATGGGTATGAGTCTAATTGGGGTTATCTTAGTATTGAACCGGGTATTTTAATTTGGAGTGACACTCTTTAATTCTGATGAAACAAGAGGGGTTGCTCTGATGGTAAGCAACTTCCACTTCCAACCAAGATGTTGTGAGTTCGAGTCACCCAAGAGCAAGGTGGAGATTTCTTGGAGGGAAGGATGCCGAGGGTCTATTTGGAAACAGTCTTTCTATCCCAGGATAGGGGTAATGTCTCCGTACACCCTACCCTCCCCAGACGTCTATTTGGAAACAGTCTCTCTATCCCAAGATAGGGGTAATGTCTCCGTACACCCTACCTTCCCCAGACTCCACTAGTGGGATTATACTAGGTTGTTGTTGTTGTTGTTGTACTCTTAACAGTCTGTCTAATTGAGGGGTATATTTGAATGATATAATATAACGATAGAGGCTAAGATGACCAAATAGTATAACGAAGGATATTTTTAAATATTTTTTCATAGTACATGAATATATTCGACCCTTCTCCGTATCCTTAATGATGGTGCAGTGCTTTTTTCCTCAGAACGTTGTTCCATACATCACCACTCCACTTTTTATAATAAATGCAGCTTATGACTCGTTAATTAAGGATATAGATGCCAATTTCTTTCTTTTAAAGAATTGTATTTTGTTTTTTCTTTAATTTCCTTAAAAAGAAAAAATTTCTTGGGATGATTCTGTAGACATATAAAATTTATTGGGTCTAATCCATACAAAATTTAGATTAAATTCAATTGGGTTAAATAATTAATTTGGGTTTTACAAGTTAAATTAGTCCATTTTATTATTTTCAAGCCCAAGGTCCATTTCATCTTAAGACCCAGACTCATGCCATGTGTCAAGTGACATGGCATATCCAGTCAAACCCAAAGCCAACAAGATGATGCCACGTGTTAAATGATGTGGCAATCCAAGTCAAAAAGTAAGAACCAACCACAAGTTGCCAAATGGCTAAAATGACATGGGCCAATCAAAATCAAGGAAGAGAGTTCTTATGTAGCTGGACTGTCCATCCTCTACAACTATAAACAGAGGGGATACATAACTCTCAGGGGACATTCAGAGTTGGAGAAGAACACTCTGCAATTAGTGAAGGTATCCACAAATAGAGAGATCAATCATCAAGTGCTTAGTTCTTCGACAAAGGAGTGATCAACGGAGTTCTTCCCGGAGATCAACCTGTAACAACAAAGTGCTACTCGACGTTCTTGGCGATTAAATATATCACAAGGAGGTCCGCATCATCCTACATTCGAGAAAGACGCTTCTCAAGCCCTCGAATCTTGGAGAATTTTAGAGAGGAGAATCAAGGGATATATAGAATTGTACTCACAAATATTTATCAATAATATCTCTTTTTCTTTATACTATTTTTGTTGCAGTTTATTTTTCAGCTTACAAAAGTTTGTTGCGAAACAATTTTGGCACGCCCAGTGGGACCAATTCTGCCCTTCATCTCTCCTTCTTTCAAGTTGAAAACTACAAATTTCATATCTACTGCTACAATGGACTTCCGCAAATGTGATGTTTCATGCAAAAATGCTACTGTTGCCACATCCGTTGAGCTCAGTCATGTTGGCCCAATGACTCGAAGAAAGTTCAAGTCAAGTGGCTTGAATGGATCCGAATACTTCGCCTCCTTGGAGATGGCAAAGAAAAGCAGATCTCGTATGACGTTCGCAACCGCAATCTCTAAGGGCAACACCCCATTCTCGATGTTTGACGAACTTTCTCAAACAGCCTCAAACCTTGGCGGATTTGAGGATTTGGTGGATTCTTCAGTTTCAACGAAAGTCGATGCCTTGGTGACTGACGCAACTAATGTGGACGAAAAGTTTGCCATGATGGAACAGACTATAGAGGTCTTGAAGAAATCTATTGAAGACAAAGACCTTCAAATCGCTCAACTCATGAACAAATTGGAGGCCTATGCTCCTGGAGAATCGAGCCATGTCCCACCTCATTCACCTGCCTTCACCTCCTAGAAAACAGCTGTTGAGGAATCATTTGCAAAGTTAAACATTCAAAAGGAAAAACAATCTACTTCAGTTGCGGCATTATCTGTCCAACAATTGCAAGACATGATAACAAACACCGTCAGAGCTCAATATGGCGGGCCATCGCAAAGTTCGTTGTACTACTCTAAGCCTTATACTAAGAGGATTGATTGTTTAACCATGCCAACCAATTATCAACCACCAAAGCTACATCAATTTGATGGCAAAGGGAACCCAAGACAACATATTACCCACTTTGTCGAGACTTGTAGCAATGCTGGAACGCATGGTGACCTTTTTGTAAAAATATTTTCCAGCATGGTGACCTTTTTATAAAAAATTTGTTCGTTCTCTGAAAGGGAACACATTTGACTGGTATATTAACTTGGAACCCGAGTCCATTGATAGCTGGGAGAAACTTGAGAAGGAATTCTTTAATCGTTTTTATAGTACCCGAAGAACTGTAAGCATGATAGAGTTGAAAGGCACCAAGCAAAGGAAGGACGAGCCCGTGGTGGATTACATTAATCGTTAGAGAGCGTTAAGTTTGGACTACAAAGATCGCCTTTCAGAGATATCTGCTGTGGAGATGTGCATTCAAGGAATACACTAGGGCCTTTTGTACATCCTACAATGGATCAAACCGCGATCTTTTGAAGAACTTGCAACACGAGCGCACGACAAGGAGTTAAGCATCGCAAGTCATGGAAATGCATCTCCATTTGCTGATCAAAAGGAGTTCAAGAAAAATGTTGCATCAAAGAACCAAACCAAAGAATCAATGGTGGTAAAAGCAACTTCTATGAAGGTCACTACTAATAAAAAAGTGAAGGAGGATAAGACCCTGAGTCAATATCCCAAAGAGGAAGAAGCGTCGTCCCACCTTGAAGGAATTAGAGGCGAAGGTTTATCTATTTACAGATTCAGACGTACCCACAATCCTTGATGAACTGCTGGACAAGAAAGTCATCGATCTCCCTGAATCAAAAAGGCCAGAGGAAATTGGCAAAGTTGGCAATCCAAAATACTGCAAGTTTCATCGCGTCATTAGCCACCCTACAGAGAAATGATTCGTCTTAAAGGAAAAACTTATGGCTCTTGTAAGTGAAGGAAAAATCATTATAGACATGGATGAAACAACAGAAGCAAATCATGCAAGTATCGCGTTCAAGGAAAAGAAGTGTTCAAAGTTGCATAACGTGTCAAGCACTTCCTTCTTACAATTTGGAGGTTTCGAGCCCGTTGAATTTGATCTTCCAAGGAAAACTCTTGAAGGTTCACTAGATCTAGACAATCACTCCAAAGACAAAGACGATGAGGTTTGGATTCTAGTCACTCACAAGAAGAGAAAACATCAGGCAGTTTTGAGGCTACGAACTCCTAATTAAAGAGCGATGATAAGCAATGCAGATAGGCTACAATCACCAAGAAATATCAAATCTTCTACTAGCAAGAAGATTAATAGTGCCTTATTGCCGAAGTTCCGAAAAGCCCATCACATTGCATGAATTCTTTCTGAGAAAATTCCTTCATGGATGTCACGTTAGTGCAACTCATGTAGTTTCTAGTACTGACGAAATGAAGGAAAGCAACGATGAGCTTGCTCCAATGAAAACACATGAATATCATGATGACAGAAAAGTTATAACATGTTGTGGAAAAATTTCATTCACAAATGATGACTTACTGCTGGGGTCTAAGCCACATAACACACCTTTGTTTGTTGTAGGGTCCATTTGGGAACAACATCTCAATTGCATACTTGTTGATGATGTTTCGGCTGTCAACATCATGCTAAAGATGGTGCTAAAAAAGCTTGGGATCTCTATCTATGAGCTATCCAAAAGTAACCTAACAATCCAAGGTTTTAACCAAGGAGGACAACGAGCCATAGGTATGATCCACGTAGGATTATCCATTGGTGAGATGAATTCAAACACCCTGATTCATGTTATAGATGCTAAAACATCATACAACTTTTTGCTTGGACGTCCTTGGATTCATGAGAATGGGGTGGTATCATCTACTTTGCATCAATGTCTGAAGTACAGAAGAGATGGTGAGATAGTCAAAATTGATGCAGACATCAAGTCTTTCACTGAGATGGAGTCATACTTTGCAGACGCAAAATTCTACCTGGATTCTTGTGAACTGAAAGTGGAGAAACCATCATCAGATGATGAAGCTGGTGTTAAGTCAGAAGAGGAAAATGAGGCTCAATGGACTACCACCAAGCTGCCTAAGAAGGGAACGAAAGAAGTCTCCATTAAGATATCATCATCTGAAGGTGACATACAGACAAAGACTGAAGAGCATCTGGTTTTTCGCTATGTTCCACGTGAGCATCGAACGAAAGGGCACCCTTTGCTACATGAATGTAACCCAAAGAAGCAAATGAGTCACAAAGATATCCAACATTTCAAGGAGCATATTACTATCCCAGTTGCACAAATCCCATCAGTGATGGGTGAGTCTGCTAAAGGCAATCTTCAAGCTGATAAAATAAAAGGGCACTATGATCCTAAGGCCTTCATACTGCTTGAAAAGTATGGTTATGACTTCTCCAATCCATCACAACTATGAGAACCCAAAGACGAAGTCACTGGTGAAAAGATACATGGGATCAATGAGTATCAAATGAAGTTGAGAAAGCAAGGGCACTACGTCGCCACTCCAAAGTTTGGGTTGGGGTTCAGTTTGGCAGAGCCTCTTCGAATTTCATCAAAGAGAAGCAAAGAGATAGCTTCATCACAATACTCCTTGGTAGAGGAGATGAAGGAAGTTAAGGGCAAGAAAATAAAACAACGGGCTTCAATATTTGATCACATTGGAGGCTCAACCCCTCCGGTCTCAGTGTTTGAAAGGCTAACTCACAAAGGTGAACATGTATCTTCCAAACATCTAAAAGAAGTTTCCACTACCTCAAAGATCTCTATCTTTTGTCGCCTAGGGACCACAAGGAAGTCTCTATCAAAAAAGATACTATCAAAATACAAGGAGCAAGTCCATGAGGAACGGGATCATTTTGAAATTGTTGCTGACAAAGAAATTTGTAGTGCTTTCCCATCACGTATGAAGAGGAAGTCTATTCTATCGATATCCACAGATGGTCCGCTGAAG